CGGCTGCAGTCGGGTCGATCACACATAGCGACCGTCAACTTCCGGTCGGTACAGCCGTCGAGCTGTTTTGGAGATGGTCAAATCTGGGACGTCCGATGACCGCTAACAAGGAAAGTCTTCCAGGAACCGAGCAACCTTGCTTGCTATAACCTGCCAGGGTGCATGAATTCTCCTTACTGAAGGTATACCCAAAAGTAAATCTATCTTTCCGAATTTGTGTCACAGTATTAAAAACCACTTAACAAGTTTGAATCCCCGGGAGATTGAATCCAAATCAAAACCCAAGTCTTGACAGGTATATTGTGCCCTTGTACCGTGATCATGTTAATTTAACCCTACTCATCTTACCTGAACACCGGCCATTATTCTACATTTGAATACACTCTGTTTTGTGTTAATGAACACCTATATGAGACTCACATATGCTTTTCAGCCCGATATTCTCCGTAAAAGACAACGCACGACGGCAATGGTTTTGCCCCCGGGGGAACATGTTTGCCACGTAGGCTTCCTCGACATTGACGACCGTCGCCGGCCGTGGCCGACCGACAAAAGTATGGCAGAAATTTTCTGGCCGCCGTCGACGGCCAGAATGGCCAGAACTGGCGAAAATCGCCGGCCGGAAGTTGGTTTTCTGCCATGTGTGATCGTTGTACCTATGACCCATGTGGCATGAGCTACCTATTCTGAGCTGCTGTCACGGTCAGCGCGGCGCCGCGCGGCGTAGCCGCCCCATCCGACGGACGCCGGACAAGTTGGCCGCGCGCGGGGCTTGGTACGAAAGTGGGTTAGTATCGAAGATCACCAGCCTGGAACGTGTGGGGTTAGGTTGGGGGTTAGGGTGGGCTCAGGTGCGGAGCGGGTGATTTTGTGGGTTAAGTTTTCAAGGTTAGTGTTGGAGATCAGTCGTTGCCAGTTGCTGTCCTAACCTGATTCGGATGCGTACGAATTTCGAAACTCCCTGGAACAGTCCCTTTCTGGTCAAACTGGCGACATTTAATAGGGCCGTGTTCACTTAAGAACACGTCCCGGGGACGGGTAGGGTTGGTTCGGGGGTTAGGGTGGGTACGGGTGCGGAGCGTGTAATCTTGTTAGTTTAGGGTTTTAGTTTGTTTTTTGCCCCGGGTGGACACCTAAATAAACACAAATGTCGCCAGTTCTGGGTGAACGTTCAAACTTGCGACAGCCGTCATGCGGGCAACTTTAACGTGAGTGAGTCGACATCTTTAACAAACTCGACAACCACGACGTTCCTGTCAGCGTAGCCCTTCTGTGGATCAGCATGTTGTCGAACCTGACGAGCGCCGGGCCTCTGACGACGGCACGCCGGAGCACTGGGGATCCCTCCAGCATAGCACGTACCCACAGAAGCCCTTGCCCACAAAAGAAACCAGCTGCATGAAGCTCGAAGACCAAATGCCTAAAGTGATACACACAAATTATCTGCTGAGAACGCCGGCTTGCCCTCAAATACACCCCTTTGCAGGCCTTTCCAGGCCTTAATTGCAGCGGTTGTCGCTCGCCATCCTGGTTGTACTCAACATGGCGGCGAAAGGAGTCAAAGGTAGGTTCTTCATTTGTCTGCATCCCCTTCATATTGTGCATCGTAAGATATCTGGGGAAGCAGGCAACAAAAATGGTCAAGCAATCGCGTGCTTTGCACGCCTGTCGCAGAATTGATGGTTGAGAAGGTCGTCAGAAAAAGATGTTGTGCCTCAGTGGATGACCTGAGGTGTAAATGCATTCTGTTGTCGAATTACCTATAACGCTTCTATATGTGCCTGAGGCTGGCAATTGTCAAAGGAAGGTAGCCGAAGAAGCGAATGGAGGTACCAAGACACGGATACCATGCTCAGAAGCCTGTGCCCCGCCTTTGAAAAGCAATTTGCACTGAATCCTAAGAGAGACACTCCTCCTTCCAGAGCAATGGCCCGCCCAAGCTTGGGCCCAGACTTGCATAAAGATTAGAGAGAATCTGATTGAAAGCTCTTGTCAAAGTGTTTTCAAGCGGAGCAGCTTCCCTTAAGCTTCCCCAAAACCTGCACAGCTTCCGCAGCTTATGCTAAGTGCTTGTAAGAGTGTAAACAAGTTCACATTAGCTCAGCATCTTCCCCTGTCGTGACCCCACATCCTTCAAAGGCCCAAACCCTGTCAACTGGCAGATGCTACTAGTCTTGCCAGACAAGGCCAGACTTCCTCTCTTTCTTCTGCCAGTTCCCAAGCCTGCAAGACAGAGGGAATGGCTGACCTCAAACACGTGTAGAGCATACATAGTAGCCGCCTGCGTCGTCGTGGTTGCGACCACAATGGCCTTGAGTTCAACAGTGTCGCTTGATAGCATAGGTACGGCGCCTGTTCACACTTCTCTTGAGTTGCAAACGAAGACCATAGCAGGTCCTACTTCGCCCCTCAGTGCTCAGAACAATCATGCAGTGAGATGTAAGGCTCCTCATAGAGATGGAAAAGTGATCAGAGCAAGCTTATGGTCAAAACCAAGGTGTTCTGAGTAAAGCATCCACCTGCGGGGACCATTGACTAGCGTCTTGAGCTCCTACCCTTTGCAGACACACTCGACATTTCTTACACAAGGAGTCACCTGCTCTCAAGCTCTGGACAATTTGCACTCTGCTGAGAGAAAAAGCCCTAGGACTTGACACTGCATATGACTACCTCACAACACCTCAACCTCATTCGATTGCAGGGCTCATGAACCGCTGGGGATTTGGTTCCAAAGCTAAAAAAGACGAAATGAGCAGCAACCCAGAGCCACAAGCTAGCGGGAGCTCCTCAGAATGGAAGGAGTATGCAGAATGTCTTACGAGCGACAGCCGGTGGAGCACGCACATCTCCACCGACAAGCCGATCTACCGCCCCGGTGACACCGTTCATATCCGTGCAGTCGTGCTTCACCCTATCACGGGAGCTCCTGTGTCAAGTGGGAGTTATGGCATGGCGGGTAACGTGCAGGTGAGCTGCTCTGAGCAAGTTGACAGAGCAAGGCTAATTCTTCGGCATGGTTGGAACACGAAGTCGATTCTGACGTCTTCTTGATTCGTGATGAACATCATGTTGCCTATTCCAGATGCTTTAGTAGGTGGCAGACGGCTTTGCAGCCACGATATGAGCGTCGCTCCGTCAGTCTGAAGACTATTCCAGTTCGTTGCACAAAACGCACCTTCTGGCCTTGCTCTCTTTTCCGAAGAGTGTCCACTGCCTGGATAGCTTCACCTTGGTCGAAACCAAACCAAAGTCTGAGCTAACCCTAACCCTCGCCCGTTTCTTCCTCTGCAGGTTCTGTCCCCAAAGGGGAGTGTCGAAGCCACCCTTTACACAAACCAGCTAGAGGAGAGCGTGGCATATGCCTCATGGGCAGTCCCGGAGGGCCAGGCCGGGGGTGAATACACTCTCAAGCTCGAGTATGGGGAGTATGGGGGCATGGGAGCCAGCCCCCCGGCAGAGCGCAAGATCCAGATCCGCAATTTCCGGAGCCCTAAGCTGAACGTGAGGGTGGAGTTTCTGGGAAGGGGGTACAGTGCAGGGGACGAGGTCAAGGGAAAGGTAAGGGCGGTCTGCGAAGAGTTTTCTATGAACTGCAAGGGATTTTGCGCAGATAGGTTTTTCATCTTGGGTGTATGGGTCGCTAAGACAATGAAAACGTTCTAGGGACGCGACTCACTTCCAAACTTTTGCAGTTGGGAAGCGTGCTTCAACTGACCAGATGTAGAGACTTTTTGAAGTTCAGATAGAACGGTACTGCTGAGAGTGAAGTTGGCGTGGAGGTTTGGGAGGCCTTCAAAAGATACGTGGGGTGGGATGTCGGGGATGAAGACGAGGATCTGAAAATTTCGTGCACCAGCGACCCGTCTTCTTTCGTTGGCTAAACAAGGGCTCGATGGAGAGGGCGTACGGATCGTCAACATTGACAGTCAATCACAATCGGAGTCACTGAGTAATCTCAGAGTGATGTGCAGTGCTCTCCCGACGAATCAGCGCCCCACCACTGCTTTGGGCCTTTGTGATGTGGCTTTTTCGCCGAGGCTATGCCAATACCTTCTTTCTTACTCTGTTTGCCTTTCCCATTTGTGCACTGGGTGCTTCGCAGTCCTTTTACCTTGTTCTTGCTCCCGGGCCAATAAACAAGTACCTTTAGACCGGTCACTCTTGACCCCGCTATTTATGACATGAGACACATACGTTTCCCAGGTGTCGGTCACCCGCGCTGAAGGCGGCGCCCCCCCAGCCGGCACTCCCGTCTCGCTCACGGCGCGAGTCGACGGGACCGCCGTCCATTCCTCCGAAGCCGTTCTCGATGATTCGGGGGTGTGCTACGCCGGCTTCGCGCTGCCCCCCGAAATAGCGGAGGGCCTGGGCGCGCTGACTGCGGTGGTTCACGACGGGGGTAACGTGGAGAGCGGCAGCAAGACCATCCCGATTGTGCTGCAGACTGTGGACGTGAAGCTCTTCCCGGAGGGGGGGGTGCTTGTTCCAGGTGAGCAGGAACAGTTGAGCTCTCTTTCTGTGTATCCACTTGTTTGGATCACTGGTGTGACTCCTACGAATCAGTCAGTCCACTTCAGGAGGTGTTTACTTGTTCGTCAACTGAACCGAAACTATGCTTGTCAGGAATGTCTTCCAGAAAAGACAAACAGGCTTTCTGTATTGTTCGATGATTCTCGATTGGAAGCGGGCAGTCAACATTGCTCCAGCTTGAAAGGAGAGTCCCGTGTCTCTTTCGCTCTTCCCCGCTCTTCCCGAGTAAAATGTGTCTAAAAAGCAGCTCCTTCGCCAAGCTTCCGTTTTCGGAAAGGCTTTCGAATCGCCTCCACGAAACGCTGAGGCTCAACCCGCAACAAAGTTCGAAGGCTCTCCTTCACCAGATGTCAATTTGCAACCAAGTCTTCTGAGCCCTCTTTTTGAAAAGCTCCAACATGCTGGGATGATGATTGATGGACCAACTCGGTGTTCATAGGTCTCGAGAACCGTGTCTATTTCGAAGCGCGCGACCCAACCGAAGAGCCCCTCGACGTCGAGGGCGAGGTCTGGCCCGTCGGTGGGAATGCGCCCCTCGCCACCTTTGCCGCAGTCCATGAAGGCCGAGGAAAGTTCGTCTTCACACCGGCCGCCGGCCAGGCTTACGAAGCTCGGTTCACCAAACCGGGGAGCGTCAAGAAGCCAGTTCCCCTGCCGGAAGTTGAGGGAGGCGCCAATCACGGGCTGCCAAGTGTCGTCCTCAGAGTCGAGGCCCCGGCTGACGGGGCAGAAAAAACGGCAAACTCGAGTGCCGCTATCGACGTCACCGTTGGAAGCACCGCTGCGGCGACTCTGCGAGTCGCCCTGTACAAGCGGGAGGTCGCCCTCGAGAGCAAAGATGTAAACATCTCCGCCGCGGGGGGTACCCAGACGCTGTCCTTCCTGCTCCCCGGGGCGGAATACTCCGGGGTCCTCCGAGTGACCGTCTTCGCCGAGAGCAGCGGCGACTGGACGCCCGTCGTGGAACGGCTGATCTTCCGGGCGCCAGTCAGAAAGCTCCACGTGGCAGTGTCCGGGGGCCCCGCGCAGGGGGGTGGAAACGACTGCGTGCCCGGGGGGAGGGCCCGGGTGGAGGTGGCGGTGACGGATGCGGTAACGGGGGAGGTGGTGAGCGGGGCGGTGGTCGGCGTCAGTGTGGTGGATAACAGTAACCTGGAGCAAGTGGAGCCGCGCAGGCGTGCGCCGCGGCTACCGGCTATGGCGCTGCTCGAAGACGAGGTGCGTGAATGAAAATTTCGTTTTTTTCATCTGCTTAGCGTCTTCCTTCTTTCTTTCTGTTCGTTCGTTCCCTTTCTTTCTTCACCGACTCGGTTTGCATACGGGCAACCTTATGTCTTCGATGATCCCTTTTCGGCGAAAGACGTCGATATCTGACGTCCTTTCCTGTTCTGCTTTTGCTCTGTTCCACTTCCATCGCAGTTTGATTCGTCACCGACTTCCTTTTTCTTAACCTTTGTACGCAGATTCTTATGTTCTTTTGGTACACGACGAAAAGAAGTCCGATTCCACTTCACTCGTTCGCCTCTCTGTTAAGATTTTCAGCTGAAAGAAATCGTTCTTGTCTTCTCTTTCCCTCTACCGCTAGGAAGCATTGTAATCGATGCCCGTTTTGCCATCTGTTCTCAAAACCTCGAGTGGGGCGTGCTGGAAGATTATTTACTGAAGGAATCAGGGCTGTTAATAATTTGGTTTAGTCCCGTTTACTTGTCCACGCTCGACCGACGGCGGCCTCTTTCGCACAAAAGTATGTCTGTTTCGGCGCTTGGTTGCCTGTTTTGGCCCGAGATTGCGCCCATCATCGCAGATGCACAACAAGAACTGGAGATTCCACTCTTAGAACTCAGCAAGCTGCTGTCTTTCCTGTCTTTGCTTTCACGTTATTTCGATCCGTGAAATCTGCTTCTAGTTTGTCTTCTCTATCTCTTCCATCACTTGTAGAAAACGCCGGTGCTTGAAAGTACCGAGACTTCTTCTTTTTCCTCGTCCAGTTCCGACCATTTGAACTTCAAGTACAACGCCCCATTATCAGAACACGCCGAGGTCCTTTTGTAGAACAGCGTGGTCTGTTCACTTGCTTTAACCTTCGACTTACTCCTCATTCTCTCATCTTAAGATCGGTACACAGTTCTTCAACGTTACCCATGGTTTCCGAGCTAAATTGGCCGTAGCATCAGTAGGAGCTCGGACTAATCTAGGAATAATAATGGCCAGGTATAATAAGCTCGCCAGCCTGGGACGGGTGGGGTTAGTTTGGGGGTTAGGGTGGGTACGGGTGCGGAGCGGGTAGATTGTTGGGTTAGGGCTTTAGTGTTAGTTGGAGCTTATTATACCTGGCTCTTATTATACCTAAATTAGTCCGTCATATCAGTAGCCCGGTCGTAACGCAATCCAATTCCCTTTTCAGGTGGACCATCTGGAGGACCACGCGGCCTACATCGACGGCTCGGATCTGCCCGGCGGCTCCGATCCATCTCTGGCCGTCGATCTGCTGCTGGGCACCCAGGGCTGGCGGCGCTTCCTCTACCGTGACCCTCTAGAAAAGTTGGTCGGGGAGGGGACCGGCGAAAACGGCGAGAAGGTACATACCGGAAAAAGGAGGTTTCTGGCGTACGTGCGACTTTTGATTCGAGCTTGGCGCAGTTGAGATGTCATCGACGAGTCGCTTAGAACCGCCCCCCTCAATCTCCGGGGCCAGGTTTTTGGGCTCCGCTTTAACCCAACCTTTCCAAGTACCAGCCAACCTCTTCCGCGTGTCGATGTGGGCGACCCAGTTACAGAGTCGGACTCGCTCGGTGCTCACTCTGGTCACCTCACAAAGACAAGCCTGCTATCTAGCGTCTTCACACAGGCGAAACTCAACACTCATTACTAAGACGCGTTTGCGTCTTCTCGTTTCCACACAACGGATGCTACTAACCCGATCGATCGATGCGCGCTCTTCTTCCGTGTCCAACAGACCAACGCGACACTTTCAAGCGCGCTGCGGGCGTCCTCGTAACCACACAAAGACAAGCCTGCTTGTAATCACCTTCGCACAGGCAAAAACTCCACAACCATCGCGAAGAATCGTTTGCATCTTCACATTTCCCACAAACGAACGCCCTTGATTGATGCGCTCACTTTTCTGTTTTCACACAGACGAAACGCGACAAGTTCAAGCGCGCCGCGGGCGTTCAGCCGGTTCAACCTCAGCCGGTGTATCCCTTCCAGGCGCTGGCCCGTGGCGGCCCCAAAATGCGCGCGATGAACTTTGCGTGAGTCTGCAATTTTTATATATTGAAGCACTAAACCTACGGCGTCCCCTTGACTTCCTTTTTCCTTACTGACTTTGGCTCTTGGAGTGTTACCTCCCTCGTTGACATTTTATACTCCAACTGCAGTAAGGCACTTTGTTTCGTGACTGGCAACTTATGAATGTGAAGGGTTCAGAGGAGAGGGCCGCGAAGAAAATACAACGTGCGTTTTGATTGGCATTTTGATGAACCTCCGAATACTTCAAAGCGGTGACTGGACGGGAAATTCTGGCCTATTTCTCAGGCATACCGCGGATACGTTCTCTTGATCTGATCCAAGCAGGCAGCTGAATGAACATCATGCGACTTGTAAAGAATCCTAAGGTAGAGCGAAACAGACTCCTGAAGCCGATTCAGCAGCCAAAATCTTGAGCTTCATGCCTCACGGCCCTGAAACGTCCAATCAGAAAGCACTAACGCCGTGTAAAGCGGAACTCTATGGTCCCGACGTTTAGGGCCTTACGGCCCTAAGCCGTCCAATCATGTAGCATAACCGCCCTGGTATCAATTAACCCGAAATTGCAGGTTTGGTGGTGGCGGCCCTCCCGTCCTCCCCCAGGCCGCCTTTATGGCGGCACCTGCCCCGCCGGGCGGCGCTTTCCGCGGTCCCCCGGTCGAACTCATGATGCTTCACGACTTGGAAGCTGGAGCGGGGGATCCCCCCGAGCCGGAAGGGGCAGAGGGAGGGCTGGAGATGCTCAAGGAGGGAGCGGAAGCGGAACCAGCGAGAGCGGAAGCGGAATTCCCGGCGGATGACTTGGTCGCCGACGTAAAGATGGAAGTGGAAGATGCTGCCGTGGAGATGGAGGTGGAGCAAGCCGGTAAGGAAACGATCTGATCTATCAAATTCCTTTTTCCTTCTATTTTGGGGGACTGTACTTCCGTTCCGGTTCCGGCCTGGGGTAACCGCACTCGTAAAAGAAAGGCCACGGGGACCGAAGCATAATGGAGTTTCAACAAGAGTCTAGCAAACGTTGTTGCCATTGCTGATCTGGGATGCGCTCAGATACAATCGGTTTTTGGGATGATTCTCGAGGTGCAATCGGTGGAAGCCAACTCCGCTGCCGGTCCAACCGGGCACGGTTGCGAAGCTATAGGCGCTAGCACGTGGCGATAATGAGGGTTGAAGTCCTGACATGGAAAAAGCGCAAGCCCTTGCTCAAAAGTCTCAGACCCTTAAGAACAAGTGCCTTTGATTCGAGTCCTGAACAGCCTTTACTGCTCGTGCGGAGCAACAGCATTCCCCCCGGTGAACCACCGCTCAAAAGCAGCATACGTCTACTTCAACTCTGCAATACTTTTTGCGCAGGATGCAATGACCTGATAAACGACTACTATTGACTTATCGATCGGCCTTTGTCAAGGATCAATATTGGTTGATAAATGGTCCATGTTGCTTATCGACACTGGCGCACAGCAACGCAGTTAGCCGTCTAAATCTGTCCTGCTTCTTCTACATTATTTTGAATCACATCACTATTTTGAATCCTTTCCGGATGGCGCTAAAGAGCGCCTCTGAGTCTAAGATTCTCTTCAGCCATGTGGAAATCGTGCACTCAGATCTTGCTCCAACCCTACCCTGTTTCGCGCCACTTTGCTTGTGACTGTTACCAAAGCGACTCTCTTTCATCGAAGCTGGAGAAATTTTTGGGTGATGCTCCCACTTCTTAAGAGCAACGCCTATCAAGCGGGCCGTCTCACTTCTGTCTCCTCCCTACGCTCAACCCTTCCTGTTTCCGGCTGCAAAGCCTAAGCCTGCCTTGAAACGAGCGACCGCCGACTGGTGGAACGCTGGATCTTGGTCGCCGCTCCAGACCTCCGCCCACAGACCCACCAAAAGAAACTTGAACAGCCATGAAATCTCAATGCTCTCCCTTTCTCCGCGTCCAAACAGCAGACGCTCCAAAGGCGAGAAAGAAGATGGCTGCGCCGAAACCCGTCATGCCGGCCGCCGGGTTTGCGGCATCGATGGCCAGGCCGATGCCTGTCATACGCGTTTACGCCCACACCCGGCGGAAGCAGGGGGTGGAGAGGTAGGCATGCTGCAAAACCTAGAACCCTGAAACCGTAAGCTCCAAAGCCCTGACCCTCTGAAAACCCCCACCTTTCATCACCGCCTTCGACATTTGGTTTTGCGTCGAAATCAAAGGGTTCCCTGGAGACTGACTGGTTTGGCTTAGAGGTTCTTATTGTTTGCCGACTGGGTCGCTTCATTCCCGCTTTCGCCTTTACGAAAGCAACTGGTGCCGCTTGATGCTAGAGGTGGAAGGGCCAAACTTCGCCTCGCCCAAACTGACAAACAGGAGCGTCGTTTACAAGCGGTGCTTTGATCCAGGGTACGAAAGCTTGGGATTGGCTTTGATTCTTTACACAAAGTCAGCATCTCTTTTCGCGACCCACAAGCATCAGACTTTGGGTCTGGGTTCTCGAATTATGTTGGAGAAGCTTATAAGCATCTAGCTTCGAATCTTTCGAGATCCTCCGGAGAATTACTTCGCGCGTGTCATCTTCAAAGAGTTTTTCCCTGACTTCGAATCAACCCATCTTTGCAGGAGTACCCAGAGGTCCGACTTCACCGAGACGGTCTACTTCGCCGCCTCCCTAGTTACCGACGCGCGCGGCCGCGCGGCCGCGGAGTTTGATCTGAGCGACTCCATCACGTCCTTCGCCGTCACCGTCGACGCCCACAAGGCGATCGAGCTCAAAACCGCCGGCGACATCGTCACCACAACCGTTACCACCAAGACCAAGGACGGGGCCGAGACCACCGTTACCACGACGGAAACCAAACCGCCCCGGGTCGTGCGCGCGTGCGCGCTCGGCGCGTCGGACGGTACCTTCAAGATCCGGTCGGTGAAGCCGTTCTACGTGGACGCAAAGTGCCCCCTCGAGCTCACGACGAGCGACCGGGTGCTCCTACCGGTCACTCTGGTGAACGCGGCCCCGGACCCAGTCTCGGTTGCGGTGCAAGTCGGGGTGAAGGGGCCGCTTTCCTTAGACGCATCCGATCGCCCGGGGAAGTCTACCGGGTCCGAGGCAATGGATGTCGACCCCCCCGGAAAGATGGCCCCCAACTTTACCCTGCTGAAGCAGAGCCTGGAGGCCGCCAGCAGTGCCCGGAGAATCGTCCCGATCGTAGCGGGGGGGGCCGCTCTCGACGCGGCCTACCAGGCGGATACCGATACCCCCTCTCCCGTTCCGAGGGGTTCGGTGACTGTGAACGCTACGGCGTCGGTTGGGGGGGGGAACACGAACGGGGGGGTCGTGCACAGGGATAATGTGAAGAGGGAGTTTGCGGTGTCGCCCAAGGGGTTCCCCCAGGAACAGTCGGCGGGGGGGATGCTGAAGCCCGGGGGAGGGAAAGTGGGCGGGGAGTTTGCGCTGCCAGAGGACACGCAACCGGGGAGCGTGGTGACGTCAGTCACGGTGTTCCCGTCGCCAGTGAGTAGTGGATGCTTTACTCGTCATGTTTACGACGGCTTCTATTTGCCCTCCTGAGTGAATCGTTGGTCGTTGCTGTGCAGGCCATGATCTTGTTGATTCTTGGAACTCTTCGGACGCTTGTTACGTCCCTCAAAACCTAGAAAACGAACACCGATGGAAGGGAGCGAACCTCGCTTGCGCTGGTCAACGAGACTCTTCTTCTCTGTTCGTCTTAAGTGTTGGTGAGAACGTCTGGCTGTAATGATGACATAACTGACGTCGAGATGGACTCTGATACTGGTGGTTTGTCCAGCTAACTTAAATCTGCTCTTTGCAAGCTTCTAAAACAAGAGGTTCCAAGTTGATAGGTCGTCTTGACTCTTGCCGTCGGTCGAAGCTACACTCAGAGACGCGTTACAATCATATTGTAGAGAATCGAAGACATGAAGACTCCCTCCTGCATTATTGCTGGAAATGAACTGTTGACAGATGAATGGGTTTTCATAGCTCTTTTCGCCTCTTCTTCTCCTCGACTCGACCGGAAATGGTCGAAGTACGGATTCCCAGTAGTCCTGCCCGCCTTTGTTTTTGATTACCTGAAAATGGTCGATGTCCTGATAGCCACGTCTGGTATACTGATTGCTGTCGTTGTGCCAGGTGGCAAGCCTGACGCAAGCTTTGGAGGCCCTGATCCGCGAGCCGTACGGCTGCTTCGAGCAGACGTCAGCGACCGTCTACCCCAACATCATGGCGCAGCAATACTTCAAGACGCACTCCGGCGTATCGCCCCAGCTTATGGAGAAGTCCTATAAGCTATTGGGCACGGGCCTGGATAAGCTGCGGAGCTTCGAAGTGAAGGGCAGCGGCGGGTACGAGTGGTTCGGGTCGGAGCCCGCGCACGAGGCGCTGACAGCGTATGGGCTGCTGGAGTTTGTGGATATGGCGCAGGTGGGTCGCTTATGTGCATCTTGCCGGCTTATAAGTTGCTAGAGTCTGGGCAGAGCCCGCCCACGAGGCGCTGACCGCGTATGGGCTGCTGGAGTTTGCGGATATGGCGCAGGTGGGTTGCTTATGTGCATCCCGCCGGCTTATACGCTGCTACGGTTCGCAGCTTTTTCGTTTCCTCAGAGTAGTCAGAGGCTGTTTGACTTTGCACAAGTGGGTCGGAGTTGCGCGGTTTACCCGCTTATGGGCTGTTGCAGGCCGTCGGTATAGCGCGTCCGTCGCTTTCGTGCATTCCGATCAGTGCTGCCAACCGTCTATGATCTATCGGAATTTTTGAAAAGGGACCGGACTCATCCTGCAGGCTCAGGGTACCGATTTCGTTCAAGGACGTAATCTGCGCAGATCTGCGCCTGTTTTCACTCAATTAACTCCTTCCTTTCGAATATCTCTTCTCTTTTGTCACATCGATCACACACACTGGTGTCAGCACGCTCTAATGCTCATCTGGCAAGACGAGGTCCAATTTTCGAACGTACAGAAAAAGTACAAACCTGGCCCAAATCTCTTCCCCGCTTAGGTGTACCCCGTTCCGGAGGACATGATCCGCAAAACGCGCGCGTGGCTCCTCGGCCGCCGGGACGCGCCCGCGCGCGCGTTCCACCTGGACCCCAAGTCGCTCGACAGCTTCGGCGGCGCGCCCGCTGACGTCACCAACGCCTACATCGTGTGGTCGCTGACGTACGCCAAGCTCAAGGACGGGCTGGAGCAGCAGGTGGGTGGGCCTGGAAAAAGAAATCCAGATGCGCTTCATAAACCTGCGGGTCTGGTGACGTTTTGGAGTGATTTGTGCGCCTTTGAGTTGCCGCCCAGGCTGGATGCTGTGAACTTTCTAACTCTCATAATCAGCAACACTAGTTAGCGGTTATGAAAAACAAATATAATCTTGTATCTTTGCCGACATTCCTTAGCTATTTTACTCGGTGGCTGCAAGCTCTCCAAAGTCAGTCATAACCGGTTCTGGGCTCTGATCGCTTGCCGCTTGCGCATCTTATTTCAAGCTTCGTCTGGAGAAGAGTACTGAGCGTTCCTCGTAGAAAAAGACGGATGACAGAACGGATGAGAGGTGCTCTATTGTGTCCACCAATGGCGGCGCCCAAAAGCTTGACATCGGACGATCGAAGCTGAGAAAAAAGCATCAAACGGCTCTACGACGCTTTCGCAACATCTAAAAGAGATTCTTCTGCGTTCAGATCGCCAGCCTGGTGGAGCAGACGGCGACCAACAAGGACCCCTACTTTGTTGGCCTGGTCGCCGGCACCCTCTACAATGTGGGCCGCAACGACGAGGCGGCGCCGCTCGCGCGCGGCCTGGAGAAATTTCAGGTGAGGGGGGGTCCGTGCCGGGCGTGAGGTAACCCCTCAGAAGTTATTGCCAGCGATCAGAAACTATGCGATCCCACACCTCGTGCTTCCAAGAATCTACGCTTACAGTGTCGTAAGATCCAGACTTTCAGTATATCTTAAAGTCGGAATCCAGAACGGTCTGTTCGTTAGAAGCCTGGATGCGCCTGAGCAGTCAATCTGAGCTCTGCATCAAAGTTTGGTTAAACGGCGTCACTGGTTTTACATTGAAATTATGCGGACTCCGCTTTAGGTAGATATTGCAATTAACGGGAAGGCATGTTGTTTGTCCCTGTATCGCAGTCTCTCTTTCCTTGTGATGGCGTGCGTGCTTGCTTGCACCGTTTTCTGATTGGAAGAAAACTTCAAATGAGATCTCTGTGCTGGCTGGAGAGAATCAAATACAAGAGCGCCGTTAATTCTGTCGTGCTAACAGGCAGGTTGCACGATTTCTGTCAACCGTTTGAGGCAGCAAACCTGTGAGACTTCCATTCAACCTACTTCCTAGCTCCTTGCAGACGAAGCATGGGATACTGGTCGACGCGCATAAATCCATTACGCTTGCTGGCGGAGATGCCGCTCTCATCGACACCCAAACCCCAACCCTGGTTTGAAGCTTCAAGCATAAATCCCAAATCTCCGAACGTTACGGTGACTTCACTTCCTACGGGATTTTGCAGAAGAAGGACGGGAGCCTGGTCGACGCACGCACGTCCATCACGCGCTCCGGCGGGGACTCCCTTCTCATCGAGACCACTGCGGTGGCCGTCCTCTGCTGGCTCAACGAGAAAGCGGCCTTCGGTCCCAACATCCGCCGCGCCGTCGAATGGCTCGCCACGCGCTGCAAGGACGGCAAGTTCGGCTCCACGCAAGCGACGGTGCTCGCGCTGAAGGCGATCATAGCGTATGACGTCAGCATGACGTCGGCGCGCGCGCCCGGGAAGGTGCACCTGCTGGTGGACGGCGCGCGCGTGGAGAGCGTCGCGTTCGACGCGAAGACGGAGGGGGCGATCGTGGTTAGTTCCGGTTTCGGATGCCTTTCAGATTTTCTAGAGTTCGTTTTGACCCTGCGTTTTCGGGTAAGGGGCTGGTTAGGTGTCCTCCGGTTTGCTAGAGTTCTGTGCTTGGGTAAGCATAGTGAAAACCGTCGTTGTTAACATTTGCACTTCCTTCGATGACTTAGCTCCCGGCATGTGAGGTGCCACCGCTGAGCAAGAGAGTCTTACAGTCCTGTCGTGGAACCTGAGGTCTTGTCAAGTCTGATCTCCCTCGAGCCATCTCGCTGCCGTGACATTCCAAAGTATCTGTGCAAGGGGGAGTGTTGAAAAACCTGAGTCGGTCAAAACGTCGGTCAAGGTTCTTCTTTCCCAAGAACAATATCCTAAGGAGCCGTTTTAAGGCTGTGGCGTCGCTCAAGCTTAAAATTGTCACGAATCCAAACCTGATTTATGCATATCGAGCAGTTTAAGGACGTGGCCGCGCGGCTGACGTCGGACGGGCGTGCGAGGAAAGTGGAACTAGAGATGGAGGACGGTGCGGAGATGCCGTACGCGATCCAGGTGGGGGCGAAGTCGCTTGTCTAGTTCGTCGTCCTCAATCTCTGCTCAAGCTGTTGGAAAAGTATTGAAACTTCGAACGGAACGTTTGCCATCAGCAGTTTCTAAAAGAAAAGACGGCAGCACCTTTTTCAGACGCGTACGGATGGCGCTTTACTTTGAATGCAGTCATGCAAGATTCTTTGCCATTACGATCGTCAAGGAAGAAGCTTGTGATACTTTTCTAAATCAAATGAAGCCCAAGTTAAGAACGAGGATAACTCTAAAACTCAAACTCAAGTAGTCACCCGGTCTGCACCGGCCCGTCTCCTCCCTAACCTTCATGTCAAGTCCGTTGCAGTACTTTGATCTTATTATACCTATTCTAGAACGATGAGCTTGTGGTCTGCAACCGAAACCCCAAGAGACCCCTCTTCTCTGGAGTGCCAGCTCGTGGCTCTTACAGATATTCGCGAGTGCGAAGATCCCCAGCGAAACGCAGTCAATCTGGATCGTCCTTTGGGAAACGGCTCTCTCTCCACGTGTCGCCGCGACTCGTGACGTCCATTTTGGCAACTCAAGAGCACTCGCCTGTGCCCAATCAGGAAAACGAGTTTCATCATAATCCGACGCACTTTCCGCAGATCCGCTACCACTCGGAGCGCCCGTCTTCCGCGGCCGAATGCGCCATCGGGCTCAGCGTTGCGCTGCAGCAACCGACCGCCCAAGAGGGCGACCTCGTCGAGATCCTGATGACTGTGGAGAATAAGAAAGCGGACGAGGCGCTGCCCATGACGGTCGCCATTCTGGGCCTCCCCGGCGGCCTCGAGCCGCGCCACGACCAGCTGCGCGAGCTCGTGACGCGGGGTGACGTGGCGTTTTACGAGGTGAGAACAATCTCATCTGAAGAAAATGTTTTTTTTACGACGAAAGTAAAATGGGTCCAAGAGTTCAAACGCTTAACGTCTTTATCCTAATTCTGGTAAATAGAGGTCATCTTTTCGAACGTGAGAGTATGCGCGAGCGAAGCGAGGTTATGATACTGCAGGGGCTTGTCGTGTTGCCGTGGAGCTTTGCAACTTTCAGCTGTTGCCCAGAAGGAGCTGTTCTGGTTGTTTGCCCGTCATTGGAGAGCCATTTGAGCGGAAAGCGCATCTGGGTCTCAGTTGCCTGCAAACAAATGAATAGGATACAAGGAATCGTAGTTTCGTTTTTGAAGGATGGTCTTGAAGAGACAAAAAGTCTGAGCGCAGATCTTACATAGCCTCATGTCCTTTCAGCGTGTACCTGTGCGACCCGGCTATGCTGCCGGATGTTCCTCATACTTCTTCTAGAGTCCCGCCTTCGACGCATGTTACGAAAGCTTGACTGGTCATTACGGACCGCCTTTTTGACCACCCCCCTTTCTTCTCACGCCTCCGAATCTTCTACAAGTCGGTCTCCACTCGGAACTTGAAACGAGCACGTTGCTCTTGAAATAAGAACGCACAACGCTGAACTGGTATGCTTTCCCAACGCAGCTCCGCGGCCGTGACGTTATCTTCTACTGGCGCACCCTGGCGGCCGGGCAGAAGGTGACGTTGCGCTTGGAGGCGAGCGCCGCGGTTCCCGGCGAGTATGTCGGGCCGGCCTCTAGAGCGTACATGTACTATACGGACGAGCTGAAGACGTGGACTGAGCCCATCAGGAGCGTCATAACCCCGAAAACTGACTGATAAAGTTGCGTACCTAGAAAGAGCGTGTGTTTGCGGCGACAGACGAGACGTGTGTGCTTCAGGGGATGTCTTCTTGGGCAGATGCGCATCTAGAAGAGGTTGTTTTGTAGTCCCGGTCCTTGAGTTTTTTTACTTTCACTGTTACGTATCGTGACTCTGTTGTATATTGCATACTGTGCCGTGGTTCTTGACTCTCGTTACTTCTTTGAGACGTTTTTAGCCAGATTGATATCATTGTATTCTGAAAGAAAGGAGCGATTACTGTAGAACTTTAGTCTGAGGAGTGCCGTGGAGGCACACTGAGTTTATGGCTCACACGACCGATAAGGTTGATAATACGTTGACTATATTAGCACTAATATATTAAAAATGGATGTCAGCGCATGGTACAATCTCATGATGGTGCAGGGCGCGCTACTACTTCTCAATCGAGTCAGTAGATTTCTATCAGATTAGCCAATACCTTACAGAAGCGCAGGAGATCGATGGGTCTTGTGCGGGCCCATGGGCTATAGCTAGCTACAGCCATGCATGCATGACACGTCCGATCTCAGATAAAACCTCGCGTGGGGATACCGGAGATAAGTCCAATATTAGCTGAGATTTGAGGGCGCATAGGCCGCGTCGTACAGCTGCCGAATCAAGCTGACTTGATTATTCTCGAAATGCATGCTGGTTATACAGATTTGCTCAATATAAGACTTGCCTGAATGGGCTAAGATAAGTGGCACATGTGCACTTTTGCGGTTAATTAAACATAGCCATCCTCTCGATCCAGCTTTTCATGAGCCTGCCGTCTTGAATGCCGGATCAGTGCTAGGCAAACGTCGTGAAACTGCGTCTGGAGAGCTCGCCGTGCGACATGCGTGGGTCACTAGAATTGTTTACGATGATAAGCAAGGTACGACGAGGACGGGGTTACGTTTATGGGGACCGTCGTTTATAAAAAAAAGGATGGGTGCGGAAAAGTTTTAGGGTTTCAGTTTTGAATAACCAGGGGATGTCACTTCGTTCTTTGTATTAGAATCCAGATCCTTATCACCGAAATTGGTTCAACAAGTTGCTGCGCGCTTTAAGCACACCGTACGTCGCTGCTTTGTTCGCGAAGGACACACAACATCCTGCTATGACTCAACACGTCACGAAACCTGCCGATCGCTCTCTTGATCAAACCAACCACATGTTCAAATTCTTGCTGCGCGCTTCAAGCAAACCGTCGCTCCTTTGGTCGAGTGTTATACAACATCCTGGTTCCGAATGACAGGAACCCCTCGCTCTCTTGATCAGATTCCAGCCATACTGTCAGGGTTAAGACCTGGCACGCTGCGGGCGTTTCCACTATCTTCTCTTCCCCCGGCTCAACACATACCAAGAGCGTTTTGTTCAGGGGAAAGCAGCCCTTTTGGTACGTGGTCCTAACCACGAGTGCCAGGCGAGAGGAGTCGTTCCTAAGCCTTGTCTCCGCTGTGCGCCGCCCCATCTCTGACCGTTTCCTTTCCCTCCTTTCCAGATTGCTTCGTTGCAAGGTAAGTACACAATAGCTTCAATGCGGAGGTTTTCCCAGCGCCTTTCTTATGAGGAAATACACACAGATATGTAAACAAGATACTGCTTGTCAGTAGATTTACAGGGATTCAGGAGGCTTGAAACACCCCCTGATGCTTTGATTGTCCCCGCCAGCTACCAATCATGCCATTTATCAACTTACATGCACCAGGTGCGACCAGCAGATGGGAATCAATAGAAATTTCCAAACGCCTGTTAATAGACGGGGTGGCTTGAGAGTGCGCATACGGCGGCTTGCTCTGTCGTGCTACAAGAATTCCATGTTGAGCAGAATATTTCAGGACATATGATAGGCACTCGTCGCGCGGCGCCCGGCCGCCGACGCACATCTAGTCTTGAAAGGGTTTAGCAGGGTTTACAGCTCACTTGCACTGCAACGGTTACGGTTGGGACTCAACCGGGGAGTACATGTACAGCCAACTGGAACTCCATTTCAGGTTAAGGTGAGCCAGGTTGAATAAGTTTAACGCGCCTGGGACGCACCAAATCCAAAACCCTAGAGTTGAAGTTACCCGTAACCATCCTAGCCCCCAAATAAATCCCATCCGTCCACCGAGCACTGACCTACTGTTTCTAGCTAACGCTGACGTCCTAAACCGCGGGTCAAAGGGTCCGGATGCAGTCACGGCCAGAGGTGCGTCCGCAGGCCGGCCGCCCGCAGCGCGCGCGCGAGCGCCAGCGCGTCCTCGATCCTGCGTGGGTAGAACTGGTCCCAGCCGCAGCCGGCCATGGCCGGGTCGCCGTAGTGGATCTCCACGAACAGCTCGTCAATGACCGCGAGCGCGCACGCGTTTTGGAGAACTGCTGGCAGCACCTCCCACTACAAAAGATAAAGATAGATGTTAGCGATAAATATAGTGAGAAACTAGAAAGCCAATAAAAAATTACCCGTAGTGGATCTCCAAGAACAGCTCGTGAATGACCACAAGCGCGCGCGCGCTTTGGAGGAAGGGCCGGCAGCACCTCCTTCTGCAAGGTTGAAGAAAATATTGAGGATAGAGATAGACGCGAGCAGGATGAGAAACTGTATCCAAAGTTGGCTCGTGAGTCGTTCCCAGTATATCAAGGACGGCTCGCCAATGACCACGAGCACGCGCGCTTAGGAGAAGGGCTGGCAGCACCTCCCACTAAAGACAGCTTTGCAAAGAGCGAAACAAATCGGAGAAAAGAAGAATAGTTGGCCTGCATCTCTGCCGCAGTGGGTCTTCACGGACGGATCGCTGATGATCACCGGGAGCGCTCGCGTGTTCTGCAGAAGCTGCTACAGCCGGTCGCTTGTCCGATTGCAAAAGGGACCGGTTACTACGGTGATTCCGTTTAGTTGCATTCTCAGAACGTGACTAAATCCAATGAGAGGAAAATCGGGTAGCCACGGCTTACCGACCCGCAGGTGGCCACGTTCTCTCGTTAAAAGACCAGGCTCGATGGTCGTGGCTCATCGTCTTGCCTTCAGCGTGAGAAGCGGTTACTTAAGGCAATGTTCGTTGATGTTACTTCGTCTTAGATGGCCGCAATGAACACTGGGCAGGTTGTGAAAGGAGCAGAAGCGTCAAAAGTACTGCAAAACGAGCTTCCAAAACTCCGTTTCATACGGAGCCCGAGCGTAAGGTATCAGATTCAGAGATTGTCGGACCCACCTCCGCTCCTTCAATGTCCATCTTAACGATGAAGGTGTCCTCCGCTTTGATGTTTAGCTCCTCGTTGATGAATCGAACGATGTCGATTCCGGGCAGTCCATGACCGGAAGCCGGAAAGTCTCGGGCGCCCACGATCGCCGCGTACAGCGTCACGTTGGGCGGGTGGGGAAGGCGCGCGAGCGCGGCGCGCGGCGGCACGAACGCGCCGGTAATCTCGAAGGCGTGGATCTGGAAGGACGACACGTGGGCGATGATGAATTTCATCAGAATGGATGATCAAATGAAGGTCAGGGTTTTGAGCTTCCTGCAAAGGTTTGATCTGGAGAAGGTGTTGAAGATCGGAAAAAGAGAGGAGCTCCGAGGTCGCTTTAGAAAAAACCTCTCGTGGCGATCCAGATTTGCAAGAATTGAATAAGGGATTGCACTTCAGGCGGGGCAAGTATCTCGGATGCGGAAACGGCGTCCGATCGACTGACACTTTATGGAAATATGCTGCTGTGTTCTCTGACAACAAGTTCAGCCACCATGTTCCGTTGGCCACGCTTGTCGCGACCTGAGGGTTTTTCAGCAGAGGCGTCGCCGTTTTTAGGGCAGAAGCGCGCCTACTCTTGCATTTCTAGTACACAGTATTTCTCCGTGACGAGATTCAACCGGATTGCGCCTAGAAGGACACGTGGCGGGCGCCCACCTCGTCGAAGTTGACGGGGTACGTCCGCATGAACCAGGCCGTGCTGGTGTCAAAGGCGTTGGCTCCCAAGTTCAGAAACACACGCCTGGATTTGACGGTTGGAGAAGACAGTGAACATTCCCAAAGTCTGCATCGATGTTGGAGATACGTCGCTTCCCGCGAGAAGACATGTCTTACCTAACAGCTGACTGGGAGTTGGCCGGTGTGGTCTCTCTAACGATCTTTTGGCACGATCACCGGCCGGCAGCGTACAATCACCAAATCTGAAATCTGCATCCGCTGTTTCTTTAAACGCTTCAATCTCAGCAGCATGCTGCTGCAACTTTCCCTGCTCTGATAAGCACATTGGCGGCCCCAATGCATCACGATAGGGGGAAAATTACGTTCGCCCGAATGCACCGAGATCTGGGAGAAAAAGTTTCAAATGGTTTAAGGGCTGAGAAGGAACACTCTAGAACCTTCGCATTAGATACAGGGACAAGCTAAGTCGGATGCGGTCAGGAATTCGCACCTGCTGGCAGATTTGAGGTCGACCTGATTGCCCAAAAGCCAGGGAATGAGGTGGCTAGGATCCTCCACATCTGAAAAGAACAGGCGTAAAACAATTGACGGGTTTTTGAGACGCGGTTGTCTTGCAAGCTAAGGTCTGGGCAATGCGTCTGGAAAGCTGATATATGATTTGGCTCCTGAAGATTGTCTTGGACTGCGGCCGCATATGCTTGACATTGAAACCAAACCTTTGCCTTCTTCACGTCAGGTCTTAGCGATGATTGAATGGATTTTAAGAATAAAGCTGCCAACTCGGAGAAACAATTTCGCCCGTAATCCCTTCAAAGTCTCGATCAGCAAGCAGAATATGTTTGCGGATATCTTAGAATGCCACCAGAAGCCTTACCGTCCGTCTGCCCGTACGCGTATCCGGGGCGAAAGTGAAGGCTGCAGAACGGAACGGAAACCTCAAAACCTTCCGATCTTCTGGCGCATCAGCATTGAAGGACAAAATGCAATTGAAAAAATTCGGCAACTCGCAACTCGAATGAGGATGGAAAAGCTTCTAAGTCGAGCTTCAAGAACTATCAAGCCTTCTCATCTTTTCTGTGCAAACTGAATTAGGTCGGACCTTTTGCAACAGGGCACACTCACTGAGGTTGCAGTTCTTCGATCAGCATTCCGTTGACCCTTTCCGCGGCCGGAAGACCCATCCGCTTGGCGTACACTCCGGAGCCCTCCATCAGGGTCCTGTTCCGGATCATGCACTCGTTTACTGTAACCCCTTTGCGATCGCACGGCGCGCAAGGGGGACACGTGGCGCACGCAACACAATCGCAGGGCGGGCAAACCACGATCGATGCATCGCACGGCTGAGACCCGCAGGCGCAATCACACGGCAGCTGGGGCGGACACGTGTCGCCTCGCGGCTGCCCCGCGAGCGCTGAGGTCAGCGGGAGGTCTCGCGCGCGCGTCCAGTCGAGGGGTGACGTCAGCTCGGCGCTCCGGCGGTCGACCGCAAGCGACGCGCGGCGCAGGAGCGCGCCCGTGAGGAGGCCGACGGCGAAGAGGGCGAGAGCGATCAGGGTTTGGAGGTTTGGGGGCTGGGGACTAAGGGAGAGCGTAGGGGCATCATCTTGACTGATTGAACTTTGAAAGAAGTAAAGGTATTGGCGCGGAGTTTCGTTCTACCCGGACCTCTTCTCAATCCAGCCGCACAGCACTTTGTAACCCCTTCAAAACCCCTTGAAGTGCTCACTGTGACCCGCTTTCCTCTATAGCTACTGTAGTCGCTCTTTCTGACGACGACGAGTCTGCTACAGAAGATCAAATCACTGCAGTTTACCAGAAAACAGAGCTGCGAAGGAGTCGTCAATCATTCAACCGAGCTGTGTTGTCGAGTGAGTAAAGAAGAAGCCTGGCGTTGCTTTCGAGGAGCTTCCTACCGCCGCGGTAGTGACCATGCGGCTATGCTTCTTCCGGTTCGTGCTTGTGTGAAAGTTAGCTGCGCTTCTTGTGGAATCGGCAACAAAACTCTGCACTTCGTTGTCAAGGGTTCTTGCAAAGGTCCGTGGAAGACGCCACTCGATCCTTCTCTCGCTGCGCGCCTGAAAGTGAACTAGTAAAACAAATTCGCAAAGAAGTAATACTTGTTAGTAGTTACTTGGAGGCTGCCATACTTCGCACCCTTCCCGTCACAACTGCGCGCTCCGCACTCCACATATGGGTCCACAGTGCAAGCAATCAGCTTAGAGATCATTCTACCTCTATTCTGAGGACTGCAAGTACAAGCAGACTCTTCATCCCGCAAATCAGCAGCGGCGTCTCTCTGGTGCTCTACAAGCTGTAATTGTCGTGTGCAGATAATGCATGAAGTTTGTTTTGCATAGCCGTGAGAAGACCCATCTACCGCTTTTTACATATTGCCCTACTAACGTACTGCGGCGGCCTCGACGTCCCAATGATCAGAGTAGATCAGTATTCCGAGCAGCCACTTGATTGCACAAGCCTCATGATCCCCGAAAAGGAAGAGAATGTTGCAGCTCCTGCTGACATTGATGGTTGCGCTGCCTAGATTGAATCCTAGACCGGAATGTTTGTTGCGCTACTTTCCAACGTCGTGTTAAAGACGGCCCCTTCGCAGCTCCCTTCCGGCCTGCCGATGACATCAAAGATGCGGCCTTCGACGCTCCCTCGATCGGCCATTAATCACTAACAAAATATTGAGAGCAATGATTGTTAGAAACCTATAATCTGCTGATCCAACATCGGCCACTACTTTGTCCGCTTATGTTGGCAGGGCCCCAAATCCATCTTTGATTCCGATGAGCGAGCCGTTTTTAATTCATGAGTTAGCGATGAAGTCACAGGAATCTGCATCCATCAACCCGCGATTCCGATATTGCATGGATGTGAGACCTCATCTTATCATGTTGTATCCCCCGCTCGGATCGATGGCCTATTGGCTACGGCGAGGTCGAAAAGTGACCATCGATGCTCAGGCGTCGACGATTTGCATTTCCAATCACGGGCTGTCGAACCGCAGCCAAATGACGGTCAATTGCTGTTCGGAGTCTAGTCCACATCTGAGGAGAGTCTCTGATACGTATGAGACTAGCTCTTGGTCGAGCTCATTGCACAACGATGCATTACGATGCATTACGATGGACTTATCACTCACATTGGTCAGTCGACTCTCACGAACATCACTGACTTTCAATGTCGCCATGGATCATGTTGCGAGCTCAGACAATTCAACGGCCCGTTCTACGCGATCAAAGAGTCTGCAGTTGGCAGGATTCTGAAACTTGGACGCAAACGAACAATTTTCCACTAAAGAACGTGCAAAATCTCTCATAGAAGTAGAGACAAGGTTGTGTCCAATCTCGACGCGCTACTTCAGCCTTCTATCACGACACCAAATTGACGGTGACTTTGTTGGCCCAAAGCCAGCCGCCAGAGTTTGGGCAGTTCTTTCAGCACGCCCGACTGGCTGCTTCAGAAAACAGATTTGAAGGGCCTCCGAGTCCTTATCAACGAAAGTAGTGAATTAATATTTTCCTCGCCGCATAGCTTTTCTCGCCCACTCTATAAGATTTGATACCTCTGGTAAACAAAATTGCCCCTATTCGCGGGAACAAAACTTTTCCGTTTTTGCAGACCAGCCCCGTAGACTAGGTCGCTCAACAAAGGCTCCGGGCTCGTCCGCTTTTATTGCGTCCCAAAACCCAATCGACTCGAAGTACGGCGATTTTCTTGTTCATAGATTGAACAGCAAGAAACGGGCGCTGTCGAAGACTCGGTACGAATGTCGGGAATCTTAGCACCCAAAGAATCCTATATTCCGGTTGCGCTCTATTCCGCGGACCAATGGGCAGAACACCTAAACAACTTGCACTTTTTCAACTTGGTAATGGCCTCTGATGGCGTAGACTCCTTTCATAAATAAAGTTGGGCGCTCAAGAAACCTCGTACGCACTTCCTTATTCCGCTCTCCTCATTCCGCTCTACGCGCAGAGCGGAATGGCGCCCGGATTGCCGGCCTGGCACGGCCCGGAGCAGCACGCCTTCTGCGTTCCGGGCGCGTTGAAGCACGGGTTGGTTCCGGCGGGGCAGGCAAAGGACGGATCGTAAACTGTGGGCGAGGAAAAGAAGAAAGAGAAAACCTTTTTAGACAGTCAGAAAGACACGTGGGGAGACATGAGGCATTTCCAAAATCAAGTAGCTGTTGATGTTCATCGTGCAAGGATTGAGCTCGGCGCCGTCCGATTGTGTCCGATTTGTCAAGCTGCCAGCTCGAGTTCTGGACTTGCGGCCAGGAAAAAAGGTGGAATTCGCTACGAGTCCGCTGACGTCAAAGATTGCTTCGAGATGACGAACTTTGAATAGGTTTGGATGATCCGAAGCCGCACGCGCAACGGAAAGCGAGCTGCGAAGACTTGGGTACGAAAAAGCCTTGTCGGCACTTTGAAGCAAGGTGCTGAAAGTCCATAACCAGAATAGAAGCTAATGCAGAACAAACAGACAGTAAGCAGGTGAATCCCTGGTAACAATCCGCGGGAAGGGTGACCAGCTTCTGACAGGAAGAGTCGTCGTGACAAGGATTAAGCAGGGAGCTTTTAAAACGCTTGTGACTGGTAACAAATGTACAATATCCGGCTTCTGACAAGAAAATTTGCGGTCAAGGAGTAACCAAAGAACGTTAACCAGCTTCTGACAAAAACACGTGGTAACGAGGGGTCACCAGGGACGTTAAACAAGGTTTCACGCACTTG